TTAAGCAGACTGTGTTGCTTTTACTAAGCTATCAAGAGTTGAGGGGGGAAAATGCTATAATTATTTTCATTAGATTTAGACTCTCCTAACTGACTGGTTTTACACCACTTTCCTCAAAGTTCCCTGTGCAAGTTTATAGCACTAAAAACTGCTGTGTGGAGGTGTTAGCATTTATGCCCCATCTCACCTCACCATCACTAAGTGCAGTGACTTCCATTCCCACAGTTTAGAAGCTGCCTCTTTTTGTATCTGTTTTGTGTTTACAGCTGGTAAGAAAGGGAAGTTTGTATTTATGAAATAAATAATCTCTGAACATCTGTTGTGGGATAGGCACCACACAAAATTGTGGGGACTCAGAAACGAATCAGATATGGCCATAGTCTCAAGGGGTTTCCCATCTAGAGAGCAAGTTAGACAGACAAATAGAACAAGACTTTATGGAGTGAGGAGGTGGGTGAGGAGGTAGGACTGGGGTGTAGGAGAGTCTCCATAGAGAAGGTTAGATGTGAGTTGGATCTGAAATGTAGATGGTGGTTCATTCAGCAGACAAGAAGAGAAGGATAATTAAGATGTACGAAGGCTCAGAGACATGGAAAACATGGTGAGTTTGAAGAAGTACAAATGGTTTTGAAATGGTTGGAAAGCAGGCAAAGTTGGTCTTCAAGCATACCAGCTAAGTGTTAACGCTGAGCACAGAGTATGGGTGAGGAGATGTGACTGTAAAAATAAATTAGGGTTAGATCACAAAGGGTTTTGAATGCCATGACAAGGATCTGTGTGTGTGTGTGTGTGTGTGTGTGTGTGTGTGTGTGTACACATGTGCACATGTGTAAGGGGAGGGTGGATATTTTCACTGAAGAATTTTAAATAAATGAGTAAAAACTATGTTCCATCAAGAGCTTTTCCACCAATCCTGGCCAATCTATTCTACCTAATGTACTATTTTTCTTCTTTAAGCACATTGTCCTAGAATGTCCTTGCTGGAAGCCATCTTGTTTAATTTAATACACTCCTCCTTGTTATTTTAACCTAAGCCCAGGTAACCAAGGCCAAGATTTTAATTGTCTCCAGCACTAGATAGTATAGGGCTGGTGGTTATTTTAAAAGGTCCTAGAGACTGAGATGAGAAAACTGATGGAGTTTGGGCCTCGGAATGTTTCCAATCTTTCTGCTTCCAGCTCAGCATTTCTGGAGCACTTCACACAGGCTTTGTAAAGATTTAGTTGAAAATCAACTTATGGATTCCTCCGTAATTGGCTTGGCCAGGTTTAATCTGTTATTGGTCAAGCCAAGCTGGCTTCTATTATGTAGTGCACTGAGGGTTCCTGGCGTTGTTCTTCTCTCAGTGGAGGCTGGCTGTTTTTAGAAGCAAATCTTGGTGTTGGTGAAGGCCGGTATCATCGTGTCCTCTGAAGTGAACCCAGAAGGACACCCATCTGATACAGCAGTTAGGCCTTTGACTAAAAAGAAAGTCTTGGATTTGGAATTTGTATGCTAGAAGGCTATAGTTTGATATATTTTTTTCTCCCCGAGATAAACCAAAGCTTCCTATTTGTTTCTGCCTCTTTGGGTTGATTCCTAGATATGTGTAGTATGCCCCATCCAAGCAGGCAGCACCTGCAGAAATGGAGCATCTACAGAGAGTGGCTCCTCTCAGCCTAAGTACCCCAGGTAACACTGGCCTGTGCTGAGCCCAACCTCTTGAGGCTATCCAGTGCCGGACACACAGGCTTACATGGCAAGGAGAAAGACAAGAACCATATCATGGACTTGAGGTAATTCATGGGCACTGATAGCACTGAGCTGCCACTGGCAGTCCTTTGTGCCAACAGAAGAGAAATCGAAGGGAGCCTGTGTGTCTGGAGAGCTTATGAAGGTAAGAAAGCAAACTGTCAGGGCAACCCCTGGGAGAGGTCTCATATCTGCCTCTGGAGATGACGTGAAGGAAAGGAGAGTAAGTAGAGAGTCCTGTTTTCCTATAGCCAGAAGACACTGGATGTGTAGTGCCGCTGCTAGGAGTATGGTGAGGGCAGGCTGTCTACATTTATAGTCACTCAGAAGTAACCTGCCCCTTCCTTTTCCTGTCAGTCTCCTTGCCTGGCCCTTGTTGGGGCTTTGGAGAGTTTACACAGTTCTGTGAGAGGAAGTCACTTACAAGACGAAGAACATTTGCCCTGTAGAACTGAGCTCATTAGAATCAAGAAGACCAATTTAGAAGTCCATAAATAAAGACAGGTTCATATATATGCACTTAAATACAGACATGCATTTTACAGGTTTTAGAAAACTAGTCTAACATCTGTTTTGCTTTCCTTGTTAATTCCACTCTCTCTGCCCCCACCCCCACCCCCAACTCTAAAGTGAATTCCTCAGCAAAGCCTGATTTAAAAGATGCCATAGACCCTGCATTCTGAACTGGCTCCCAGAGCTTGTTTTTGAAGATTTCTCTTTCCCTCCCCACCACCCCAACCCCTTTGGCCAGCCAGCTTGGCAGTCATCCTTCCAAGGGCCCAACCTTAACAAATCCGAGCCTTCTGCTGCATCTTGCCACCAAATGGCACCTGCCGGTCTCCCCGGGCCAGCTGAGAATCCACTGGGCATCAAGGGCCATGGAAGTGACAGACTTGTATCAGCAAGAGCAATAAACCACAACTGTGGGTCCGATCAGGCTGCCAAATCAAAAGCAGTTGTGCTGGGTGAAGTTCCACGCATGTTTTCTTTCTCGAAACTTTGACCGAGTTTAGGCATATCCCTCTGTGAACATTTATTTTTTTCTTTTTTTATTATTTTTTTAGTTTGGATCCTGTTTTTAATTCTTTATTTGGATAGTCTAGAATCTTGAAGCTTGTCTGAGAGAATGAGAACGACAGCATCGTTACAAATCAGACCTGAAAGGAATTTAAGCCAGTCTCTTCGGAATTTATCAATGGAGATACTGAAGTCCATTGAAACAGAGTAAATTGCCCAGAGACATACGGCTAGTGAGAAACATATCCAGGGCTAGAGGTTAGGCCTCCTGACTCTCAGTGCTTAAATTTGTGTCTGTCTAGGGGCACCTGGGTGGCTCAGTCGGTTAAGCGTCCTACTTAAGCTCAGGTCATGATCTCCAGTTCGTGGGTTCGAGCCCTGTTCCACGATCTGCGCTGACAGCTCAGAGCCTGGAGCCTGCTTCAGATTCTGTTTCCCTCTCTCTCTTTCGGCTCCTTGCCTGCTTGTGTTCTCTCTCTCTCAAGAATAAATAAATAAACATTTTTTAAAAAAAGTTTGTGTCTGTTTAACATGTAAGTGTGCAATATACATGGCAGCCATCTGTAAGTATTGATATTTATTCCAACAAGAGTAAAAATATACGTAACAGGTCATATTACTGAACAATTATTAGGTGCCAGACATTGTTCTAAGCGCTTTATTTGTACAGTATCATTTACCTTTGTGACAACCTAGGTGGGTATTATCATCCTCAATTTATAGTTGAAGTTACTAAGACACAGAAAAGTAAATAACTTGCCCTTGGTATGTATGGGTGTCCTATTAGACTGGTTTTCCTGGGGCTCAGGACTGTGGGTGCTGAGCCCCTAGGGTTGGACGGAGCCCTTGCCTGTCTAGTGGGAAAGGAAGACATGTGAGTAGATCAATCACAACAGTACATGACAATGGCCGTAACAGAGGCAGGCACAAAGGTGGTGGCGCGAGGATAGAGCAGGAGGAGCAGGCTTCTCCAAAGAGATGGTATTTGAACTGTCTCGAGGGTGCATGGACATTGCTAGCTGGTGAACGAGTGCTTGTCCACAAGTGTATAGGAGCACCTGACAGGATCAGAGAGGATCCGGAGGGGCAGAAGCTCAGTGCCAGAAGCCACAGGCATGATGGCTGGGGGGAGATGTTGAGAGACAGGGCTGGAGGGTGGTCGGGAGCAGATTATAAGGTACCTGCATCCCAACATGAGTAATTTGGCCTATATCCAGTGAACACAAGGGAGCCAGCAGACATTTTCGGGAGGAGGTAAGTGACAGGATCAGACTGCTGGAGGTTCTGGGAAGACTGGTGACAAGGGAAGCAGTTAGGAGGCTCTTGAAATTGTCCAGGTGGAAGGGATGAGGAGCTGGGCTCCACATGGCCATCTGATTGGCACAAGCTGCCTCCTTTCCTTTGCTCACACTGCTTCCATGGCTTGGGATGCTCTCTTTAATCCAGGCCCACCTTTCAGGACTAAGCTTAGGTGTTTGATATGGACGCTCTCTTGGCACACATAAAATCTTGCAGCACATCTTTGTGTACATTTCTCTCTTCTGCTTTAACACCCAGCTCCCTGAAAGTAGGACCAGACCTTCGCCTCCTTAAATACTGGGCAAGGTGCCTGACCCTCAGTGAGCTCTCAATAAATGTGTGATGAATGAATAAACTTTCTAAATAAAGGCAGGGACTATGGGTATGGAAAGAAGAGGCCAAATTTGGGAGGTGATTTTTTTTTATGTTACATCAGGGGATGGCAAACTATGTCCCATGGGCCAAATCCAGCTCAGTTTACGTACTGCCTTTGTAAATAAAGTTTTATTGGAAGCCCATTTGTCTACGTTTTGTCTCTAGCTGCTTTCACTCTACAATGGCTGAGTTAAGTCATTGTGACAAGACTATGTGGCCTGCAAATACAAAAATATTTACTCTCTGGACGCTTGCTGAGAAAGGTGGTCAACCTGTGAGTTAGAGGATCAGGATTAGTGACTGGACATAGAGTGATGGAAAGGAGAGATTCCTTTTCTCACGTCTTCTCACTGTGCCTAATGCAGAGCTTTGCTCCTGGGTGACAGCCTTGGCTGGTGGGCCTGCAGATACTGAGAGAGAAACACCCATGACTGTGGGCAGGAGAAAAAGGGAGCCTGGGAGATCAAGGTGGGAAAGAGACCCCATAAGAAAAAGCCAAGGGACCATAGCTGCAAGGCAAAATTTATGTAGCTCTTACTTCTTCCCAGCGATGCTTCTCCTCCTCTTCTCTCTCGTAGTCATCCAGTTTGGCTTTGTCACCCTCTTTGTGGCCTCCTTCCCTCTGGCACCTGTGTTTGCCCTTCTCAACAATGTCATTGAAGTGCGGCTTGATGCAAAGAAGTTTGTGACTGAGCTGAGACGGCCAGATGCCGTGAGAACCAAAGATATTGGTATGTCCCCTGCTTAGAGACCATGGCAGGCCCTCTGCCTCTGTCTGTCCCCTCAGTCTCCCTGCCATGACCTGCCACCACCATCACACCACGTCTGGAATCAAGAGGGCTGGGGGAAGCCCTTGGAGGTCCTCATCCTCATATCCTCAGGCTCTGGGAGACCTTTATCCACCCCTACTTGTCCCCCTGCTTTCCAGATGGTGGAGGGGGACACCTAAGGCTTTGTAGGCAAGCCCATTTCTGGGGGACCTGGCAAACCTCCACTGGTAATGTGTCTGTGGAGCATCACCCTGAGTTGCAGCCTTGTTGTCACCGGGCCAAGGGTGGGAATGAGCCAGATGCCCTTCTTTCTGTCTTACAGGGATTTGGTTTGACATTCTCTCCGGGATCGGCAAGTTCTCTGTTATCAGCAACGTAAGTGTTAAATTCGTGACACCCTAGCCCTGTGGTAAGGGCTTTCCACAGGACCTGAGGTCTTCAGAGCAGGATACCAGCCCTCGTTACCTCCCAGCCTTTTCCTTCTGGAGCTTTGTTAAAGGCAGCCCCCTGGTTAGTAGTGCATACGTGGTGCCATTGGCCAGAGCCGCGCTACTATATCGTTAATTTCACAGAGAGAAAGGAAGGTAATTACCCACCAGAGTGCATACCGTGGCCTTAAGAGTCAAAATCTGATCTTTCCTCGGAGCCAAGAATAATGAGGAAAGAATTCCGCATATCTATCCATCTCTTTCCTTTCTTTTTCTCCTCCTGAGCTAAACAATACCTGGAGCATTGCCCGGGCGGCGGTTCCTAATTACGGTTCCTCCAAGCTGTCAATGTGAAGTCCTAATTATTCCCATGGACTCTGGCACCGCGTAGGTTAAGATAGGACATGCAAGAAGAGGGGTCCTACCTGTTGTGACCTCTTTAACTGCCTTGCCAGACATGTCCACATTTCAGAGGAAATCCTGATGGGCCCAAGCCAATAGCAACTTCTGCTTCTGCCTTTTGTATGGATGGTGGCTAGGCAGGGCCTCCTGTCCTACCTCCCAAGAAAAGACCCCCAGCTTGGCACCTCCCAAGAAAGCCACCACCCATTTTCTCCGGGGAGAGAAACATTGATTCTGTACTTGGTTGCCTATTAAGAACACCTAAAAGGCCTGGAGAGGCAGGAGGAAAGGCAGAGAGTCAGCCCACTGCACTGTGAATGTTCAATGTAGGAAGCGCATATCTTGTGGCTGAGAAATGAGGTGCAATTTGAAAACAGATCAGTAGCTCCTTTGGGGTTGTGTCTACTGGAAAAGAGGCCCTGCGTTCTAGGTACTTTCTATCATATGACAGAATGACAAGAAATCTTACTTCCCTGGGTTTCTGTCTTCTTTACCTATCTGTAAACATGAGAGAGCATAAGATTACCCACCAAATAGGATCATTCAGGAAATTAAATGGGAAGATGAAAGGACATGTAGCAAGTGCCCAGTAAGTTGTAGCTGTGGTGATTGTAAGCACATTACTCATTCTCAAATATGGTATGGCCATCCGCACTCATATATACATTTAGAAAACAACGCCTAAACCACATTTTTAAAAGGGCTTTAATTGTTAGTGCAGAATACAGTATAAACACCTGCCAAAAAGATTTAAGGTTTTCTTTGCAGAAAGTACCTCTACATTTAAACATGCAATCACTCACTTGGTGTTTGGTTTGCTCTGTAGACATTTATAGAACACTTAAATATGCCAGATAGTATGTTAGGTACGTGTGGTTCGATCGGGCAAGACCCGCTGCTTTCTTTGGTTGAAAGAACAACTTCCGTTACATGCTGTGCTGAAAAGTGTCAAGAGACAATGGTCAAATTGGGGGAACTGTGGACCCATATCCTTGGTATTCCTGGTTTTCTGGTGTCACTCAGAGGCAGATGTACATGGCCATTCAGTGTCCTTGCACATTGCACTTAAGTGACACTCTAATCAACGTCAGTAATTTTCTCAGAATATCTTCTACTCTGCTTTGACTTGGCTAACACCAGTGTCAATTCAGACCAGAGGTGGCTCATTCTCTCCAGAACCAAATGATCCACACTGGCTTAGCACCCTTTGCATCAGGGATTGTAATTCACCCTCCTGACAGCCACTGTCTGTGGATTCCCTTCCACATAGCAAAGATGGAAAAGCCGTGGGAGCTCAGAGATAAGGACTTCTGTATCAGCCAGAGCAGTGCCTCTGGATGGGGAGCCCAAGGGGCAGCAGTCTGTCAGCCAGAAGGACCCTGTTCCACCTGATAGCATCCATCCTGACCACTCCTCAAGTGCGTGTGCTCTGTCCTGCAGGCTTTTGTCATTGCCATCACCTCTGACTTCATCCCCCGTCTCGTGTACCAGTATGCCTATAGTCACAACGGGACCCTGCACGGCTTTGTCAACCACACCCTCTCCTTTTTCAACGTCAGCCAGCTGAAGGAGGGAACGCAACCAGAAAACTCACAGTTTGACCAGGAAGTTCAGTTCTGCAGGTAAAGAACTCGGGAGGAGGAGGGCAGCAGATGACCGGATGTGGTAGATCCAACCAATTATCTGGAAGATCTAGATTGATATCACTCTCCTCTCCATCTTTCTCCTGCCCTGAACCTTCCGAATAACTATAAATCAATTTCAGTGCATCAATAAATGTTTATTGAGTGCCTTTTGCTAGACACTATGGAGCAAAGAAGTATATAGCCTTGTCCTTACCATGAAGAGGTTTATGGGCTGGTTGGAAGAAATAAACAGAGCGGATAAGACATAGCAGGCTATTCAGGGATTATATCCAGTGTGGAACATGAGCACTGTGGGTGTTCAGAAGAGAGAAAGATTGGTGGGGGCTAGAATGGGAAGGGTAGGCTTCCTGGAGGGCCTGAGGAGTCTTAAGACAGAAAGAGTATGCTAGGTGGGGAGTCGGCATGGGCTAAGTCATGGGGTGGGGATGAATTTGGGGTGTTCGATGAACACTTAGGGGCTAGGTGATGTAATTAGCAAGGAGAGTGCTTAGAAGATCACAGTAAGGAATAATATAGGAAATACAATATATCAAAACTCCTCGGATAGTATAAGCCAAAGCATTGTTGAATTTGAATAGGTAGATGAAGTAGGTAATGGGAAGTCTTGAAATACTGCAGGCATTGTAACATGATGTAATAGGAAGTTACCTTTTTAGAGCCAGGAATGATAGATAAAGTGTATGCGTAGGAGAATTAATCTAGTCTCAGAGAGAAGGATGGACTAGAATTGGGATAACTCCAGGAGGGTGGCTGAGTTGCTGCTGTCACCAGCCATGAACCTTGGTGAACATAGACCAGAGTGGTGGAAGGGGAAGTGAGAAGATGAGCTGTTTATAGAATACCTGACAGCATTGGTGACAAGGGACAGAAGAGGGAGCCCAAGGCAAAGATACCTCCCAAGATTGGGCTGAAGTCAGAGGACCGGGCATGGTGGGTCCATTGACAGGGATGGGAAAGATGCTAAGAGAATCCAATTTTATGGTAAATATGATGAATTTTATTCCAATCACATCAATTAAAATAACGGTAGGGAGAATGATGTATCCCGGGTAGACGGGCTACTCGGTGCTCGTTGGTGGGACCTCGAGTAGAGGATAGGCTCTGAGAGGTGAGGTGGGAAGAAAAAACAGAAGCCAGACCGTGAAGAACGTGGTGGGCATATGGAGGTGTGTGGACTTCATCTTAGGGCAGTGGGGAGCCACAGGGAGCAGGGATGAGATCCTACTTCTCATTAGTGTTCTCTCTGGCTGCAGTGTGAAGAGCAGTGGGTTACATGTGCAATAAAGAGATGCTCTACTCTACGGTGTAAGCAGGTGTCCAGAGAGTGGCGTCAGCATATTATCTAGATACAGCATATCACATAGGTGTACTTTAGGGCTACCTTTCCTAGATGGGTAATAATTGTTGATGGAAATCTCTGCCTCAGTATGCTCTACTCACTGCACGCTATGTGAACTTGTCTGGCCCAGGAGTTTGGGAGTGGTGGCTTAACCTGCTGATGTCTTTGTAAGCCAGGAGTCGTCAGTGGCTGTACAAAATAGAAATGAAGGAGAGTTGGGGGGGGGGGGCAGGATGGGGAGGAAGAGAGGGAGGGAGAGAGGATGAGAGACAAGGAGAGAAGGAGAGAGAGATTGTGAGAAACAGAGAGAGCTCTAGAGCTAGCCCCAAAGCCAATGTTTAAAACTGCTTCCATGGTGGGAAATGAAAAGTTTGCCCTGGTTTTCTGGCAAATAGTGTTGGGAACTCTATGACCCTTCTTATTCTTAGCTTTCAGTGACCTCTGGAGATAAATGTGGTCAAATAAAACTGAGGTCTCGGGCTCCAGCCCAGCCTCGCCAGGGATAGAGGTATCTTAAAAATAGCAATAAAAGTTAGGACAAGTCTCCAGCTGCCCATTTGAGATGCATTCCCAGCATTTTTGGAGCAACATTTTCTTCAGGCCTCTAGCTGCTCCAGCAGGGGGCTGCTCCAGAAACAGTCCGGCGACGTCAGGCAGCAGACATGATTAGTGGCTACCGACAGGGTTGAAGGGCTACCATGTCCTGTACGGTGGGTGGTGGCTCAGGCTTCTGGCTCCACTGGAAGGGAGCAGAGGGTCAGTATGGGAGAGAGCCTGGCTGGGGATCTGGGTCCGGGAGCTTGGGGAGCCTACTTGGGCATGGCCAACCCAATGGGTCTGCTTAGAGGTGCTGAACATCCAGAAACAGCATCCTTGGTGGCCCCTGCTAGGTTTCTTTGCAGGGCCCGAGTTCTTTCATATCCCAAAGTCATGTGAAAAGTCTTTGAAGAGGCAAGTTCTCTTCAGTATATGGCTGTCTCTCATCTGTTCCTCGCTGAAACCAGAGGGAGACTCAGCTTTTCCGGGTGTTTCCTTTCCTGATCTTTATCAACCACTGGATTAACGTGGTTCTCATTAGTTCGTAATTGCCTGTACTGTTTTCCCTTGTCAAAGGCCAGTTTCGGAAGGCAGTTTGAAGTAGCTCAGATGGTATGAAAATATTGTATGTAATTGTGTTTAGCATTAATATGACATTAATTTCCATCGGGACTATTAAAACAATTAACATACCGTGGTTGGAGTTGAGAGATGTATTTACTAATTGATTCATAGTGTAACTAAAACCTCATTTTTGGAAAAAGCCATTCCTGAGTGTTGATGTCTAACTCCTCTGTCTGTTGCTTCGGTATGTCCTCTTCCTGCCCACGGTGATTTTGTATTACGATGAATTGTGGCAGGTGTCATGGTCACTGGTCACTCCTGCAAGTGAGGATGGTGGGGGGACATCTGAGCCAGGAGTCTCTCTTCCTTCTCCACATCTCAGTTTCCCCATCTATAAAAATGGGAACTTGGAATTAATAATCTCCGAAGATTCCTTTCTGTTTCTAAAAAATTAGTATTTCATGATACATGTAATATATTAATCTGTTCTATAGAGTCTATAAAAACTCTAAACATTACAAGCAATCTCTCTAACTCTGTCCTCCCTCCACCCTAACCTCTGCCCAGTCCTGGGCACTTTTCCAACAGTAATCTCAGTCACACCTTTGTGTGAGTCTTTCTCAGACATTTCTCCATGCATCATCATCAAGTGAACTCATAGAACCTTTAGGGTATTTCATGGCTTTGTTTTATAATAGTGAAATACATTTTGAATTCATGGGAACCTTCTTTCTTTAGGTAGTGTATAAATACAACGCAATGTGATTTTTCATAGTGTTAGAACAATCTCGATATAATCTTAAAGTAACTTAAAGCTAAGATATAATGATTTTTGTACCAGTTTCACTTACTGTGTGTGAGTCTGTCTCAGTTAACACTATAATTTAGGTCCTGAAAGCTTAGTATAAAAGTGCACGGAACAGAATATCACTGTTAATTATATTCTTTTGAAATTATGAACTTTTTTGCTATCATAGAAGTAATTCTGTATACATAGGAATATACACAAAAGGAAAAGACTTTCTCCTTAGCCCCCACCCCAGTCATTGTCAGGAAACCATCCTGTTTATTCTCTGTGGAAGCCTCCAGAAATCACATTCACATGCATTGTCTTACTTAATTTTCACTGTGCTTTCCTTTAACATTTAATGTACGCGCACACGTGTTCATTTATTTGTGGCTGGTGGGAGAGAGCTGGAGCACTTCTCTGTACTCAGCACATTTCACTAGCCCCATTTAACAGATCAGAATGCTGAGGTTCAGTGGTAGGAAATATGTTTCATGGGGTCTTACAGTTAGTAAGTGACAGAGCCACTCCCAGGGCACACTAGCTCATTAGACACTCTAGTTGTTTGTAATTACAAGCCTCTCATTATTATGAGACTCCAAGGAACTCTCAAAATCAATGTTAAGGCTCAGAATAAGGAGAGCCTTGGAGGGGTGAGGGTGAGAAAGGAATGGCTCCTAAAATCATACTTCCGAGCTTAAGTCCCAGCCAGCAGGTGCAGGAGGTGACCCGCTATGGAGGTCACCCAGTGCTTGGCCACTCACAGGGACTTTGGGAGACGTACTCCCTCAACCAGGGTGAAGTGTCTTGTTTGGGAAGGCCTTTGAGCTGATGGGAACAGAGCAGAAGTTCTACTTCCCACAGGCCTGAGGCTTACCTATTTTGTGCCATTTCCCTGGACAGAGATCCTGAGAGAAGCCCCTTGCAGATGTGGCAGTGGCTGACTTTCTCATTCATATCAGCACGATGGGAAACTTGGAGCATCTGCGCCCGAGTGCTCAGAAATCCCCCTGGAATGCCAGGGGGAGCCGGGAAGAGGGGCACCTGTGCTCTGTCCTCTTAAAGAAAGAGGCGTATTCCATAATGTGCCTTCAGTCGAGGGAGAAAGTATAGCTAGTGTGTATTGGGCATGTACCTGATAGGCCAGGTGCTGTCGGGTGCTCTTCATTGAGCTTTCCTCCTCATTACATGCCACCTGGGAGCTGGAACATTGAGGCTACTTCATAGACCAGCACCATGGCCATCAGCACATCGGGTAACTTTTTAGAGGACATAGAACTAAAGTGGTAGAGAAGACATCAAGCCCTCACCTGGTGACTCCAAAGCCCATGCCTTTGCCAGTGCCGTGCCCTGGGCTTAGAAGCCAAACAGACCTAGCAGACAACCGTCACTGCTGCGGACGCAATTAAGTCCATTTTTTTTGTGGCCATTTCTAGTCTTAATTATCTCCTTGTTTAATTAGCGTCTTCTTGTTACTCAGGGAAAACATTTGATAAGCTTGACTTCTTAGGATGCCACTTTAAACAATTATGAAATCTGAACTTCTATTGGAATGTAAACAACCAATCATTTACCTGGTGGCAGAGGCTTACCGAAATGATATTTTTCACACTATGAGTCATTGTTCATTAGCAGATTATGAAATCATCTTAGCAGATCATGGTCAGCATTTGAAAGACTAGAATAGGATAAGATAGGGTAGGATAGAATCAGAAAATATCAGTGCACGCAGCCAGGGTAAGTATGTTTTGTGTAATTTTTATTTCCTTGACATGTACTTATGTGTGCATTAATGTAAAATTAATGTAATGTATTTCTTAGTAATGTAGGTCACAGTTTTTTTTTTTAAAGTTAGCTTTGGAAAGGGAAACGTGAACAGATGCAGAACTCATTAAATTGTGTCTTGTTCTTGTCTGTGGGTAGTTTGTCCTGTCATTCCCAACAGGGCTCCCTCTAGCCCATTGGCGTAGGGGTATTTCCAAGTAAAGCTTTCTGGAAATATCTGTGTTAGTCTTTCCTCAGATCTTTGATTAAATGGATGTGCTTGTTAGCTTTTAAAAATGTCTTGGACACTCGAGGAGGGCAAAGTGACATTTCCAAAAGCTGTGGCGAGTGAGGAGCAGAAGTGGGACCAGAATTAGATTATTTATGGACTCTTTTCAGACTGGGAAAAAGAGGAGTGAGCAGTGGCCCCTACACCAAGGCCAGTGAGCAGCTGTCCCTTCCTAGATGGAGCTAGAGAACAAGACAAACAGACTTTGATTGTAGCAGGAGGGATGGGCTGGGCCTGGGGAGGGATGTGCCTGTGGTACAAAATGGGCATATGTCCCGCCTCCTGAGGTCTTGGGAAGAGTAGAGAAATCCCCTTTTGCCGTGAGATCCTTTGGTGGGGGGAGCAGCAGGAGGGCGGGCGAGCCGGGGTTTTTCCCACTCCAAAGTGTCCCTGTCCTTTAAGCCATGCTCTCCCTGTCTCCTGTCAGCAAGCATAATCTGGGGTTGGCCATGCTTCTGTCCTCAGCCATGGATGGATATGCTGAATCCTGTGGTGTTTTGCTGGGCTGCAGTTAGCTTTGCTTTTCATCCGGATGGCAAAGTGAGCCTGCAACAGCTGTGATCAGCTGTTGGAAGTGGGGGTGGGGAAGGGGCAGCTTCTGGCCTCCTGCCCAACCCTAGTTGACTGCTTAGTATCAGCCTCTGTCTCTGTTGCTGACTCTGCCGCTGTGCCTTTTTCTTTCTGGGGTGTGTGTGTGTGTGTGTGTGTGTGTGTGTGTGTGTGTGTCTTTTCCTCTTCCTCCTTTTTTCCTTCTCTTCTTCTTGCATCTCTCCTTGGACAGTGGGAAGCCACCGTGCTTTTTCCTGGATCTTTTAGGGCAGCTGGCTCGTTCAGGGCAGGGAAGGGACAGAAAGCACCCATTTCTGAATCCCCCGCCTCAAACTGCAGCTGTTGGTGAGGTGCTTTGTGACAATAGAGAAAAGGCCTGCCTTCAGCCAGACTTGGGGTCTCACCTTGACTCTGCTTCTTGCTGGCCATGAGAGAGACCTTGGCAAGTAATTGACTTTCCCTGAGCCTCAGTTTCCTCCTGTGTCATGTGGATATCAGTGCCTGCCCAAGGATGTTGTGGTGGAGATCCAATGGGGAAAACTTCCAGTAAAGCTCCTTGCTCAGGGATTGGCACATTCTGCATGTTCCTTTGTGGCCCCTCCTCGGGCAGAGTCCCCTGCCCGCCCCTGCCTTCCTTGGCAGCCATGCACCCACTTGGTGGCCTCATGCCACCCTACTCCTTCCCCCAGCCCGCGGCTTGTTTTGCTTTTACTCAACGTCAAAGATCTATTGAATTCCAGGGAGAAAACAGTTCCACGAAGGGTTATAATTCTTCTGGTACCAGCTCTTGTCACTTTTCCAGGCTTAGAAAAAAGTGAGTCTGAAAAAATGAGCCATTTTTAACATGAGTCATCACAGAATGGGGGTGAAAAGGCAGCGGTGAGGAAAAGCCCTAGATGGTTCCACGGGTCTGAGAAAGAGGCACAAGTTTACATCACGCACTGACATTGTGTTTCTTTTCTTTCCTTTCCTTTCTTTTTCTTTCCTTTTCCTTATTTTGAGAGAGAGAGAGAGAAAGCATGTGCGTGCACACGCGTTGGGGGGATGGGGGGGAGAGAATCTCAAGCAGGCTCCCTGCCTAGCTCAGAACCCAATGCCGGGTTCTGTCTCACAGCTGACCATGAGATCATGACCTGAGCTGAAATCAAGAGTTGGATGCTTAACTGACTGAGCCACTAAGGTGCTCCTGACATTTTGTTTCTTTAGCCACATGGACAGATCATAAATATGGTCAGTAGAAGAAGATACGGACCAATAGCAACTATTACTGCCACCCCCCAAATTCACTCAGCCTTGAGCTTGGTCTGAGTCAGCCTTCCTTGGGGTGCAAGAATGCAGCTACCAGCCCCTCTATGGCTGTGGTCCTGAAACAGCTAGCCAGAAAGGAAGCCTAGGATTGTCCACAGGTGCTTGTGTTCTCCCTGAGCCCCTGGACTGCAGAGAACTGTCCAAGGTTTCTGGGCATCTCCCCTCCCTTCTCAAGCTCATGGAGCCAACATGGATTCACTGCCTTGGGCTCCTCTGGAAGAAGAATCCAGACACCAGAGGAAGCTGTGGGGGGTGTTGGAGAGAGTGTTGGAAAAAGACATATCAAGGCCAAGACTGGTTGTTTTGGACTTTGGTACTTTTATTCCATGGACACTTGTTGGTTTATTCCACGGTTGGTCAGTATTCTCTTCTACTGACCATGTTATGATCTGTCCACATGGCTTAAGTTCCACAGATATTTGTTCCTCCCTGCTTCCTGCTACTTCCCAAATTGGGGAGGCAGGGGCTTGCCTGCTGCTCTCATCCTTGAGGTTTCCCCCTGGAGAAGCACCCCCTTCCCTCCACCTCGTCCCAATCTTAACACCACCTTTCTCTCTGGGCAGGTTTAAGGATTACCGAGAACCGCCGTGGGCCCCGAACCCGTATGAGTTTTCCAAACAGTACTGGTCCATTCTGTCTGCCCGTCTGGCTTTTGTCATAATCTTCCAGGTGAGTTGTTCAGATAAAGAGTAGCCAGTTAGAATCCAGGCTGCAGGGGTAAAGACCACATGGCTCTTCGCCTGCTCCTCATCTGCAGGTTTTAATGGCGCTGTGACCTAGGGGTGTCTGCATGTGGCAGGCAGAAGTGAGTGCCTCCCCAGAGGAGGCAGGAAGCACTCTTGAGAGGGCTTCCATTCATGGATGGATTTGCAGCAAGAGAATAGAACACAGAGTAAGGTTACAAGACAGATGTGGAGTAAGTTGCAGGGTGGAGATAGAGTCCCGTTCAGACGTAAGACAAGACAGGAAGTAAGAAGAGCAGTGGAAACCAGAATCTCATCCCCGATGCAGACAAACAGTCCCGCCTGGTCTCCGCAGCCCAAGAAAGGGCTCAAGTTCTGAATCATTCTTCTAGCTCTCGGCTGGCTCCCTCCTTTGTTAGAGTGCCTCAGCCCCTGAGACATCTGGCGGAGAGGGCCCCAGAGCCATCCGGCCATGCCTCGGTGAATAGCAAACTCGAGCCCCGTGATTGCTATCTCTGACAATGGCCGCAGCTCCGGTTGCACGGCAGAGATCCGCCAAGTGCGTGGCCCCAGCTCCCGCTTGGGGTCCTGCCGGCCTTCAAGATCCTTTTCTCTTCCACTCCCTCAGGCTTTTGTATTCCCTGAAGGCAGATCTCTGGAGGGCTGTAAGATATCTGGCTTTGCCCCTGGCCCAGGAAGTGGAGAAGCCCCTCGGCTAGTCTTTCACCTAAAGAAGATAGCCATTCTTCCTCTGGGGAGATGGGGCGGTCTGTGAGAAAAACCACTCCGATGCCCCCCTGCAGGTGTCCCCTGGCTTTCCCACAGCTCACCTGTAACATTTGTTGGCACTGTGAAAGTTGGCTTAAGAGAAGAGTGTGACTCGAAGCAGCTTTAGAGCATGAATGCACCCAGGAGCCTCTGGAAACAGCAGCTGGTCCCGGGGCCCTCCTCTGGGCCCCTGGGTGCAAGCGAGGTTCAAGGTCAAGGGGGGACTAGGTTTGGAGCCTGGAAGACAGCCATACCCTTATGATCTTGTGCCCAGATCTCAGAGCAAGCATGTGATTGGCAGGCAGAGAAGGCCACCACTGGAGCAGCATACTGGGCAGAGCATGGCCTGGGGAACTGGGTGGGGATCGGGCCATGCTGGCACTGTTGTGATATATTTACCGCTTCAGTGGAAAATGCTGCAGGGTAAGGTAGTCCTGTCTTACCTGCGTTTCCAAGGGAAGGGATGGGGCTCCACAGGTGGAAGAAGGAAGCCAATTACAAGTGTGCACAGAAGCTTAGAAAGGAGAAGGGGAAGCTAGGGGCAGGGACCCTAGCTGGGCCAGTGTGACTGGCTTAGCAGGAAGAGAGAGCAGGATGAGTGGGAGGTTTGCTGAAACCAGAATTCAGCACAGAAACCAAAGGACTGGCTCTGATATGGAGGACAGAAGGCAAGCAGGAAGCAGGAGAGGAGCCGCTGGCCCAGCAGAAGCCCTGGAGAGGCCAGCAGGCTCTGCGGCCACTTCCTAGAAGGCTCTGGAGCAGGGGACCTGGAGGCTGAGAAGCCAGGCGGGAAGAACCAGAGGGGAAAGAACAATAGGTGACACTTCTCAAGCTCCACTGCGTGCAAGGTATTGACTTACTTAATCCTTGCAACAACTCTGAGAGGCAGGTGCTGTTACTGTTCCACTTTCTCCACGGGGACCCTGCAGGACAGACACTTCTGCTCATTGGTTAAGACCACCTGCCAGTAAGCAGAAGAGCCAGAGGAACACGGAGGTATCCTGCCCCTGGATCTGTGCTCTCCACCACTGCCACCATGGCATCACACTGCCAGCCCCGCTGCTGAGACCCTCACTCTGACCCACTGGGCTGGGCCTCTCCTCGCAACCCTTCTCCTTTCTTTTTGGCAGAACCTCGTGATGTTCCTGAGTGTCCTCGTGGATTGGATGATCCCAGATATCCCCACGGATATCAGCGACCAGATCAAGAAAGAAAAGGGCCTGTTGGTGGACTTCTTCCTGAAGGAGGAGCACGAGAAACTCAAGCTGACGGACGAGCCAGCCCCAAGGAGCCTGGGAGGGGGGCGTCGGAGCAGGAGCCGGGCGGCCAGCTCGGCACCCTCGGGCCGAAGCCAGCCAGGCAGCATCGCGTCTTCTGCCTCACAGCACACCAATGTGTGAGCGAGTCGACCCCACCGCGGGGGCTGCCACAGTGGCAAGGGACCTCACGGAGCATGCCTGTGCACCTGCATGGGAGGGCTGGCTGGTGTCTGCCAGGGCCCGGCCTCAGGGGGTCTTTGCAAAGGTGCATTTGTGCAAAGAGAGAGGGGTTAGAGCGAGCGAGCAAGCACAAGCAGGAAGAGAACTGGAGCTGCTTCTCAGAAACTTCAAGCTTAAGTTCCTTTTAGGTCCTCTTTGATCTTTTTGGGGGATCGGCACCCCATTTTGAGTCACCCGGTGCAAGAACTGGGTATCTCTACCCCAGAGCTCCCAGGCGCCATGCACCTTCCTTGCGTTTCCTCAGGTGTCCCCTCTCACACGGTCACAGTCTGTGAGAGGAGCAAGCCCCCCTCCTGAGCGATCCCTCTCCCCTTCCCACCAGCTCCCCAAGCAGACCCCTCTGAGTCGCTTGCAGCTGGGACTGTCACAGCCTCAGTGGGTACAAATTAAGTCACAGGGCTGATGGCTGTGGCCACAGGACTTGATGGTGAGTGGCAGAGGTCCCAACCTGAGCTTGTCTCCATGTCATGGGGATGCTTTGAGCTTGTGCAACTAACCATCACTTTATGCAGGTTCAGATTTAAAGTAATAAAATAAATCAAAACATTCTTTATAAAGATGCGTCTCCTTGTCTGTGGCTCTCTCTCTTTCTGTCACTTCATACCAATATTTATTGAGGACCAACTGCTTCCCAGATGGTCTCTGAGATGAGAGATGAGCAGAGTAGAAGAGATAAAATGTCTGACTCATGGAGCTCACTTTCTGGGGAGAGACAGGATTTTAGCTAGTAATAAGGGCTCTGGAGAAATACAAGGGATACAGGAGGCAGGAAATGTTAAAGCAGGAGACGTAAGGGGCTTACCATTTTATATACAAATCAATGACAGACCCGAGATGGTTCTGAGGTTACATCTTTCCTCCCAGAGCTGGGGGGCCAGATTTTCAAGTATAGTTGGAAGCAAAGGCCAAACACCATTCATCACCGTCCTTTGCACACTTCAGCCCCACACACTGTCCAGAAACCTGTTGCACAGTCCTCTTCCTCGGGACCCGGCCCCAGTTCCTCCCAGGTCATTCTCAGTGTCTGCATAGAAGCTTTGAGGAGGGCCACACTCCAGAGAAGACATGAGTGTTCTCATGTTTCAGCACACCTGGTAATTCGAGGGCCTGGGGTGCCGGGCTGGTCATCCTTGCCGCTCCCCATGGCTTCTGTGTCCTCCTGGCCACGTGCAGGATCGCACTGCCCTGCCAACTCTTGCTCTGGAAAGTAGCTCCTTCTTTCATGGGGACCCCAGGGCATAGATACAGCTTTAGAAGGAGCAGCAGACAATCCTGTCCCACGCCGCTCACATACCAGTAGTCCTACAATAAATTTTAACCACTTCACGCTTTAATGTTCAAACTTACCATGTTAGCCTAGATTCAAACTACAGTATTACCAAAACACTGCATCATCTTACAACAGGCTTCAGCTAAGTCAGCGGGGAGGGAAGTGGCCAATAAGAGAAAAATTTCACTTCAGGGGCACTAATGACAGGGAGATTCCAGGCCCATAAAAAGGAGGAGGATGTCCCTGGGACTCCTATGGGTGTGGGTGGGGTTGGTATTTCCTGCAAGCAGTGATGGTCCATTCTGATGGTCAGGGGCCACCTCCAGCACCAAGACACCCACATTGCACGGACTGTGGCTGGCTCAGGACCCCACCTCTTTTCCTTTTTTCACGTACACACTTTTGTATGATCAGAGAGGTGGAACTTGCACACCAAGAGTCAGATGATCTAAAAAACAAGGGGCACCTGGGTGGCTCAATAGGTTAAGCATCCAACTCTTGATTTTGGCTCAGGTGATGATCCCAGGATTGTGGGATCAAGCCTTGAATTGGGCTCCACACTGGGCATAGAGCCTGCTTAGGATTCTCTCTCACTCTCTCTCTCTGTCTCTCTCTCTCTCTCTCTGTCTCTCTTTCTCTCTCTCTCTCTCCCCCTGCTTCTCTGCCATGCACACCCTCTCTCCCCTGTTCTCAAACACACACACACACACACACACACAAAAACCAGAAGAAAGTGAAATCACCCAAAGTCCTCAAATTTGTAATCAACATCAACAATTGCTGTGTTTCCTTCCAGACTGTCATTCCCTCTCAAGTGCATCTGTATTTTTGGTTGCAAATATGCAGTATATGCTATCTTGCTTTCTTCTTCTGCTTCATGTAGCTTATCATTCCTTTTATCCCATAAGTTTGTTGTCAATTTTTTTAATGTTTATTTTTGAGAAAGAGAGAGTGAGTGGAGGAGGGGCAGAGAGAGAGAGAGGGAGACAGAATCCTAAGCAGGCTCCAGGCTCCTAACTGTAAGCACGAGCCCGATGTGGGGCTCAAACTCGTGGACCTTGAGATCATGACCTGAGCTGAAGTCGGACACTCGATTGACTGAGTCACCCAGGCGCCCCTCAGTTGTCTTGAATGTTATTCAAAAGTATGTACCGAACAACTACCATGTACTAGGCTCCATATTGGGCACTTGGGATACATCACTCAACACAATGATTCCTGCCTTCTTGTAGGTGAGTCAGGATGACACAATAAACAATGAAAATAAGCTGTATAGTGTCTTAGGGGGTAATAAGTGCTATGGAGAAAAAAAGTCAAGCAAGGTAGAGGGGATTGGTAGCAGGGGTAGAGGCTCCATTTTAATTTCCGTTGCATAATGGGCGTTTTTGTTTTGTTTCCTGCCCCACCCCTTCCTGTTAAAGGATTGCAGATTGGGTGTGGAAGCCTGTGGTGGCCAAAGCCCACACTCTAGTGATTAGGCCAGACAGCACCTCCCAGGGAGATCTAGGTGGAGAGGAAGGGAGATTCCATCTGCCCAGATATACATTTCCACCCTGAAAGGACTCCACTTTCTCCCTCTCTCTCACTACAAATGAATTAGGAATTTTGTGATTTGCCCCCATCCCCAGGCTAAAATCATCTCAGCACCTGCCTTACCAGCATGACCACCAGAAGTGCCTGCCCAACAGGGCAGCAACTGGGATGTAGGCTAAGAACTTCCCAAAGGATTTGTTAGTCTGGGTAGAGAGATGGTAGGTGCATCCTACTTTATTTATTTTTAATGTTTATTACTTATTTTGAGAGCACGAGAGAGAGAGAGAGAAAGAGGTAGAGTGAGAGCACACAAGCAGGGAAGCAACAGAGAGAGGGAGAGAGAGAATCCCAAGTAAGCTCCACACTCAACACAGAGCCCAACTTGGAACTCAATCCCATGAACCATGAGATCATGACCTGAGCCAAAATCAAGAGTCAGACCCAGACCCTTAACCAGCTGAGCCACCCAGTCATCCCCAGTCCTAATTTAAAACAAACAATTAAACCTACCCTCTGCTTTTTTATTTATTTTTTTAAACATTTATTCATTTCTGACAGTGAGAGCACAAGTGGGGGAGGGGCAGAGAGAGAGAGGGAGACACAGAATCAGAAGCAGGCTCCAGGCTCTGAGCTGTCAGCACAGAGCCTGACTCGGGGCTTGAACTCATGTGAGATTATGACATAAGATGAAGTTGGATGCTTAACCCACTGAGCCAAACAGCACCCCCACCCTCTGCTCTTTAAGGAAATTGTAAACTTTGACATTTCACTGTAAAATACAAAAGAAAATTAATTATGAGCAAACATCTGTAACACTGAAGAAATGAAAAAAATATCACTCCTTTTCCTACACCTTTTCTCTAGAAATAATAACAGTTAATGTCTGAGTTTACTTTGACTTCATTTGTGGTCTCATGGTATATGTATGGTCACTTACATTGATCTGGAATAGCATCTATTTTGTTTAGTCATAAAAGTAACATATACTCATTGAAGATTTAGAAAATGCAAAAAAATGTAAAATGTAAATAAAATAGTTTAAATAATCTGAATTTTTAACTCCAAGAGAAACAGCCATGAGCTCTAGATGGAGGTCATGGTGGCAAACAGTATTTACCGTTGGGTTCATCAGGTTTTTCCTTACTAAGAATAAAAAGAAATGGAATCCACTTGATGGCTGATTTACCGAAATAATCTTTTTTAAAAAATGTTTATTTATTTTGAGACAGAGAGAGATAGCGAACAGGGGAGGGGCAGAGAGAGAGAGAGGGAGGGAGAGAGAGAATCCCAAGCAGGCTCCACACTGTCAGCATGGAGACCGACGCTGGGCTTAATCTCACAACTGTGACATCATGACTGGAGCTGAAATCAAGAGTTAGATGCTTAACTGAGTGAGCCACCCAGGCGCCCCTACATAAATAGTCTTGATGGCTATTTTCTTGATGTACTCATTGTAAAGAAAAGAGCATGGAATAAAAGGTGAACTTCCCTTCCCTCTCTCCCCTCTCATAGCCTCTCCAGAGCAGCCCTGTCTAGGACAATCCTGCTTGGGGGTGGGGGAAAGTTGCTATTCTCGGCAAGGATTTTAAAGATGCAGAAAATCATCATTAACTCCTCAATAAAATGGCTGTTGTTTTGCCATATGGAACTTTGCTTTTCTTCCAGGCAAATGAAAGCCTTTGGGTTTGCTAATGCACCCAAAATAACGTTCTAACCTTGTAAACAGATGAGTCCTTGTTAAGAAACACGGGAGAGAAACTTACCAGGTGCTTTTCTAAGCAGACATAAATTGTGGTAGGAGATTCCACCTGGCTGTGGAAGGCATTCTAGAAGTAAGGACAAGAATGAGTTGGGAAAACTCAGGGACCAGTGTGCCCCATGGTTGTTTGAAATATGTAGCCAAACAGGGTTTGAGGTTAAAAATAAATTAGGAAAATGCTCCTGTCTTTTTATATTGTCACAGTCTTCCCTTAGGTGTCCAGAGTATACCTTCAGGTAATATGTTTTTTTTAAACAATGTGGTGTTAAAGATTCTACCCAGATCCCTTCAGGATTGAGGTGCTCACTCCCTAGCTTCTGATGGTCACAGTTTGAAGCCCCTCTCAGAACTGCTCTAAGTGAAAGGAGGCTGCCTGGACCAGGGCCACTTATCTGCTGGGGGCAGCCTCTCATCTCTGTAGGTGGAGGAGGCCCCCCCTTGGCTCAATTCGAGATAATTCTAAAGGGCTTCCTCAGCTCCAGAGCTCCATATGGAATTGGCCAAAATGTATTGCAGCTCAGCTCTTCTGGCTGCCCTGGTCTGCTTACCTCACCCCTCCCCCTGCCCACCACTTCGGCAGGTGTGCTTCTGGAACACACTTCCCAGTCAACCTCCTGCAGGTCAGGTATGCAGTTCCCATCTCAGGGGACCTGACCAAAGACATGGAGCATTTGCTTTTGTTGGAATGGTGATTTGACTGGATTTACCTTTCTTGGGTCACCATCCTTTCTTTCAAAACATGGCTGTGGCAATTAATTCATGGTCTTCCAGGGTTTCAGAGGGAAAACCTCTGGCATAAGCCTGATCGATATTCCTTTGTACTTTTCTTTTTTCCTCCTGCCTTCGTGCAAATAGGGTTTTAAAACGTATTCTTGGAATTCAAAAATTTCACTGGAATGTGCCTTGATGCGGGTTTCATTATTTAACAGGCCTGAAATATTGTGGCCACATTCAGTCTGCATATCACTTCTTTCTCGGCTCTGGAAAGTAC